TAAAGAACCTTGTAATGAGGGTGAAAGAGGAGAGTGCAAAAAACGGTCTGAAACTCAACATCAAAAAAACTAAGATCATGGCCACTGGTCCCATCACCTCCTGGCAAATAGAAGGGGAAGATATGGAGGCAGTGACAGATTTTACTTTCTTGGGCTCCATGATCACTGCAGATGGAAACAGCAGCCACGAAATTAAAAGACGCCTGCTTCTGGGGAGGAAAGCGATGACAAACCTTGAGAGCATCTTAAAAAGCAGAGACATCACTTGCCAACAAAAGTCCGAATAGTCAAAGCCATGGTTTTTCCTGCAGTGATGTATGGAAGTGAGAGCTGGACCATAAAGAAAGCAGACCGCCGAAGAATTGATGCCTTTGAACTGTGGTGCTGGAGGAGGCTCTTGAGAGTCCCCTGGACTGCAAGGAGGACAAACCTATTAATTCTAAAGGAAATCAACCCTGAGTGCTCACTGGAAGGACAGATCCTGAAGCTGAGGCTCCAGTACTTTGGCCATCTCATGAGAAGAGAAGACTCCCTGGAAAAGACCTTGAGGTTAGGAAAGTGTGACGGCAAGAGGAGAAGGGGACGACCGAGGATGAGATGGCTGGACAGTGTCTGCGAAGCAACCAACATGAAACTGACAGAACTCGGGAGGCAGTGGAAGATAGGAGGGCCTGGCGTGCTCTGGTCCATGTGGTCACGAAGAGTCGGACACGACTAAACGACTAGATGACGAGTTTATCTACAGCAGTACCAACATGACAGTAACCCAACCTCCCACCCACTCTGCACTGAATTATTCTACTGAAATGAAAATGCTTGGGGGTCACCAAGAACAGCCTGTGTGGAGATAGAATGGGTGCAAAAAGTGCTTCTCCTCAGGTTCTGCTTGTTTCCCAAGTTCTTAGAGGCATAAGGTCATTGTCATTTTATCACCTCCTACGTGAGAATCAGAAAATAGCTACCATATGACTTCTTCCAATAATAGAAAACTTTTTCTGATCCATTTCCAGCAATAGACATGTGCATTTGGAGATTGTTATTCACTTTGTTTCAGTTATTTTAGAATGCTTCCGAAATTCCATATGGGTGAGAACATGTTTCTGCAGTTCCTCAGAAAAAACTGTTAATAAATATCAAATTTGATTTGAGATTTGAAGTTAACTTGAGACAACATGTAATGTCCTAAATAGAGATGGGCACGAAGGCAGTCAACCACTCAGGCGAGGAGGTGGGACAGGGATTCTTCCTGTGCAGCCATTGAGTGGTCGGCTGCTGGAGGAAGCAGGGAAGGGCAGCCCAAGCTCCTACCTACACTGGCCTGCTGCCACAGAAAGAGGCTGTGTGTGACAATATGTGAGTGGGCCGGCCAGCCGGGGTGGGTGGGAAGAGGGAACACGCAACATCTATGGTGCCATGTGGAGACCTTTGTACAAAGGGGCATGGCTTAAGTTGTTCCCATCTCTAGTGTTAAGTATTTAGAATTTGGTATAAATTCTGAGTGTCAATTCTTTCATTCCTAAAAATTGCTAAATTCCTTTTTTTCTAGTTGGTGAAGATGGACAAATAAAAATATGGTCTAAGAGTGGAATGCTGAGATCTACTTTAGCACAGCAAGGTATATTTTATGTGTATCTTCAGTACATTTTAGCATCTGTTTTAATACTTTAGCTGAAAAACTGATTGTTTAGATATCTTATACTTAAGCATATGAAAAATAAGTGGCTGAAATACTTTTTATTTGAGTTCTACAACATAAGACTAATAACATCATTGGAGCATGATGTTATTGGAGCATTTTTATTTATTTTTTTATTTTTTGGAAATTAAACATTTCCCCATCCTCTCCCAAGGCCCCCAAAGGTCCCAAGTAATCTATTTCATCACTGGGATTTCTAGTTCTTGTTTGTTTCCCATACTCCTGGCATTCATACATAGATATCAGAGTGTGTGTGATGCATATATTGTTTTGAAGAGTATTATTGAGCCCCATTAGAGCTGCTCAGTGTGTTTCTCAAACTGTGCATACAGCAGTCCTTCATTTATCAGTAAAAAATTAGTTGACAATTTGTTTAACAAATTGCATAAGCTAGTTTACCAAACCTTTGTTGTGAAATAGAAATATGTCTGTTAGCACAAGAACTCTCAAATAATCTTTTGCACCATATATCTGCAAATATTTCAGTTATATTTTGTGCTGCATGGCAAACAAATTAAAGCTTCTTGTGAAGTAATTTGCAGTCTGCTGTACACATCTATATTTTTAAAGCATATATTCCTCTTGTTTAGTTCAAGTGGAATGCTGTTTTTGACAAAAAGCTAGCATGTTTATAGTTGCAAGTTTATGAAGTCCAGAAATACAGAAAAGGAAAGCTGGAATAACACAAGCATAGTGTGGGTTATAAATAATGACTTTGTCAACATTTAGCAGGGAACCTCTGTAAAACTGTTTCTTTCACACCATAGATTCCTAACATGGGCATATTAGATCAAATTGCCTAATTAAAATATTTGTGGACTAAAATCCTTTGTCAACTTTTCTGCAAATGTGATTTACTGTAAATGTAAGCTGCCCTTACTAATGTTACAGCAATCGTTAAGGTTACCTGGTTTATTTGTTAATATTGATATATTATAAACTTGTTTCAGTGTTTCCCAAACATTCAGGCAGAACTTGCATTTATTACTTTCCTATTCAAAGAACTATTTGTACTGACTTACCATGTTTGCTCACAACTGAGCAAGATCTTCAATGCACCCACGCTTTTCCCCCATTCAGAATGAAACTTCGTTCTCATCACTTTAGGGAAACATTGAGGTTTATCACAGTACTTTTCAAAGGCATCAGTGCTTCAGTCTGCCAAACAACAACATGATGCATTAAGATGACCAACTTTGAAACTTCTGCTCTGGAAATGTAAATTTATGTTTACAAGTGTTTACAAATCAGCAAAATGGAGTTTACCTGACTATGTTTCAATCTGCTACATTATCTAAATCATGAGAAATGAGAAAATTATGGTGCTTGGGGATGGAGATCATATTCACAGCTGCTTCTGTCTTCCCCATGCTACTGTCAAATCCATCTCCCTTTTACTGATAATTCTGTTGCTGATTATCAGTACTTCTACTGATCGTCCTGAGTTTATCTGTCACATTTTTATCTTGCTTTTCCACTAGAAAATTTCTTTAAAAATAAAAAAAGTGTAATACCAAATTTAAGTTTCAAATCAAACAGGCCCTGTGACCATCCCCTCCCATTCCTACACTTTTACAATGTACTATACAGTACTTTATTGTCCATTTATGAGGATGCTAAATAGGGACATAGTGTAAACTACTCAAATAGTTTGTGGTTCTTGATTAAGCAGAAGCAGAAAAAGCAAGTGAAGGTCAATCTGGAAGATTTATATTTGTTTTTTAAAAATCCAATTGCTTGTAGTTTTCCCTTCTTCCCTCCCCTGCCACCATTTCCTAGTCTCATGTATGCAGTTTGTTTTCCTAATAATAATAATAGAGAATGTAGCAAGTGAAGGGGCACTAAATAACATTGAGTGCTTGTCTGTCTTGGAAGAGTTGGACAGCGAACCAACTTTAGCAAATATAAAAGCGCCCTTGGATTCCCTCACCTCTTGCAAGTTACCTCAGAAGGATAATAATAATAATAATAATAATTTATTGTCATTGTAAGTATATACACAGTATATCATACAACGAAATTCACAGACACCCAGAGACCAGACACATGCACACACATAAAATTCCCAAACACTCCCCACCCACTAAAAGTCCCCCACTAAAAATACAAACATCTACACCGCAGGCCAAGTTACACAGTCCAACTAATTATTCACTACTGGTGGTCTTTAAGCTCATTATTAATTGCAATTATAGCTCTGGGATAAAAACTATTGAGAAAACGTGTGGTCCGAGTCTTAATTGTTCTATATCTTCTGCCAGATGGTAACAGTTCAAAAAAGTTATAAGCAGGATGGGAAGAGTCTCTCAGGATGCTATGTGATTTCCTTAGACAGCGGGATGTGAAGATGTCATCCAGGGTTGGTAGCTGGAGCCCGATGATATTCTGGGCAATTTTAATGGTTCTCTGTAGAGCTTTTTTGTCCGCTACAGAGCTACTCCCAAACCATGCCAGAATGCCATAGGTTAGGACACTCTCAATGGTGCTACGATAGTATGACAGAAGCAAATGCTGAGATAAATTTAACTTGCCGAGCATTCTCAGGAAATACAGCCTCTTCTGTGCCTTCTTCATTAGCATGTTGGCATTTGTAGTCCATGAGAGGTCCTCTGAGATGTAAGTACCCAGAAATTTAAAACTACCAACTCTCTCCACTTCCTCACCGTTTATGTACAGTGGTAAATGTACATTTCTCTTCCTCCTAAAATCAATTATGAGTTCTTTAGTTTTTTTGATGTTAAGTGTGAGATGATTTTCTTTACAGCAAAGTATCAACCTTTGTACTTCCTTTCTATAAGCAGACTCATTGTTCTTATTTATGAGCCCCACCACTGTCGTATCATCCGCAAATTTAATAATTGCATTGGTGTTATACAGTGGGGTGCAATCATGTGTGTACAGGGAATAGAGGAAGGGACTTAGCACGCAGCCCTGGGGAGCTCCTGTACTTAGTACCAGGGTAGAAGAATGGTGAGATCCCATCCTTACTGACTGTGGCCTATCTGTCAGAAAATCCTTTATCCACATGCATATCTCCTGAGGTAATCCCAGGTTGATCATTTTAAAAAACAACCTATTTGGTAGAATGGTATTAAAAGCAGAGCTATAATCCACAAACAACAGCCTCGCATAAGTTCCCTGATGTTCTAAGTGGCTCAATACAGTATGGAGTACAATGGACACAGCATCATCAGTAGATCTATTTTTCCTGTATGCAAATTGCCATGGGTCCAAAGAAGGTGGAAGACTAGCCTTAATGTAATCCAGCACCAATCTCTCAAAACATTTCATAACAACAGATGTTAAAGCTACTGGTCTGTAATCATTGAGAGATACCACAGCTGACTGCTTGGGGACTGGCACTATAATAGATGTCTTCAGGCAAGTGGGGACTGAACACTGCAACAAGGATAGATTGAAAATATCCGTAAAAACTCCAGCTAATTCTGCAGCACAGCCCCTAATAACTCGTCCCATGATTCCATCTGGTCCAGCTGCCTTTCGAATGTTAATATTCTGGAAAGCGCGTCTCACATCTGAAATCTGCAGTACTAGTGGTTGTCTGTTGATGGTAGATTCTAGTGATGTATTATAGACAGTAGGTGCTGGAATAATGGTTGTTCCTGTTTCCACCTCAAAACGGCTGAAAAATTGATTTAACTGCTCAGCCAAAAAATCACTGCTGCTACACAGACTGTTTTTGTTACTCTGACCAGTGATTTGTCTTAGGCCGTGCCACACTCGGCGAGTGTCAGAACTTTCAAGGTGTTGTTCAATTCTCTGGCTGTACATAGCTTTGGCATCCTTAATGCCCCTTTTCAGTTTAGCTCTAGCCTCTCTGTACTGTAGTTCATCACCAGAATGAAAAGCAGCATTTCTGGCTTTTAATAAAAAGTGCACTTCTCTATTTAGCCAAGGCTTGTTATTAGAAAACACTCGTACTTGTCTGGTGGTAGTAACAACATTGATGCAGCTTTTGATATAAAACAGTACTGTCGAGGCATAAGTATCAACATTGTCCTCCTCAAACAGTGCCCAATCAGTGCTCCTAAAGCAACCTTGAAGTTGCTCAGATGCATCCACTGGCCACACTTCTATTTCTCTAATTGATGGTCTGATTCTTTTAACAAGAGGTCTGTATGATGGAATCAAAAACAGAGATATATGATCTGACTGTCCCAAGCTAGGCAATGGCTTTGTCTTATATCCATGCATGATGTTACTATATACTTGATCCAAGGTATTTTCCCCTCTAGTGGGACAGTCCACATACTGATAAAAGTTAGGGAGGACGGTCTTTAAATTGGCTTGATTGAAATCACCTGCTACCACCAGCACTCCATCTGGGTAGGCCTGCTGCTGTTTGCTGATAGCAGTTAACAAACAACTCAAAGCTGTGGTTGTGTTAGCATCAGGAGGTATATATACTGCTGTTATTATAATAAAAAGGGACGGCATTTCACTGCCAAATACTGCTTATTATTTCCAATAAGTCAGGAAGTATTGGCTGAGTGACAGCTAGCTCTGCTGTCCCTTTGGAAAGGCAGAAGAAGAGGAGAATATGCTCAGCCAGTACTACAGAAGCCAGTATGCCGGTGTGGTAGCTGAGTGTGCTTCTGTCTTCACTCTTTTCCTGTGTGGAAGAAGTAATGGTGGTATGAAGTGACAGGTGGTGACTCAGAAACTCTACTATTCTCCCCTTCCCTTCTGAAGGTAGCGGGGTTGTGGGAAGAACAATTGTTCCAGGGGATTACTCCAGCAGTGGTATTTGTCCTGTGTGTGGCAGATTCTTCATCCCTAATGAAAGCGAATGTATGTAAATTATTCTGGTGGTTGTTGTGGATTTTTTTTGGCTCTTTGGCCGTGTTCTGAAGGTTGTTCTTCCTGAGGTTTTGCCAGTCTCTGTGGCCGGCATCTTC